GTGAAGCCCATTTCTGGTGTCCTCTGCCGTGATATTGCTGGAATATTGCTAAAAACGGTGTGAAACCAAACTCACTCACTTATGGTACTGCTGTGTGTTTCAGGCAACAAAAACCTGTTTTTTTATGTAAATTGAGTCAGTGGCGGTGGACCCGGTTAGGCAGGACATGCTTACAGTTTCCGCAGACACCTGGTGGCATCACTCATTCTGTCGGAGAATCGAGACTGGTTATTCTCTGGCCTTGACGTTTTATACCAGTATTTAAGCAGGGGAGAGATGAGGTGGCTAACGCTAGTGGTAGAGCATCCGCCCGGAGAGCGGAAGGTCCTGGGTTCGATCCCTGAACGCGTCATACCAAAAGACGTTAAAAGATGGTACTTGTTGTTACCCTGTCTGGCGCTCGGCATTAAAGGACTAAAACAAGGACTGGTCAGCTCGGAGTCAGTACACTGTGTCTGAGTGGGGTATTCATGTTAAACTGCGGCATGGTATCTCAGTGAGCTAGCACTATAAATCGGCGTCAGTCCGGAGTAGTACAAGCAGCCACACAAACACACACACGTACATGCACGTCGCTATATAAGTGCAATAATCTTGGACGCGACGTTAAACCCCATTTCACCTCACCTCACCTCACCTCACCTCACCTCACCTCACCTATTTGCTGGGATCACGACCTCGAAGCTAAACTTGGAATGAGATGCGAAGTCCATGTTGTATTTATTACTGGGGTTGTCTTCACGGGGCCTTGTCTAACCTTTGGTGGCCCAGTGACTAAGGCGCCACAATTCACTGTGCAGAGTTCAGTCCCTTACTCGTGCCAGGAACCTATGATCGTGGGTCCAAATCCCGTTCGTCCCGATTATGTTACTAGGTTAGTTATCATCATTGTAGTAAACGTCCATGGCCTGAATCACTTTTGGCTTCATTCCCCCTTTAAGCTGACGCGCCGTGATAATAAATTACTGTTCAACCCCAATTCACTCACTCACTGTCATGATCCGACCACGATTGCCGCCTCCATAATACGTGTTTAAGTTTTAAGCACTGATAAAAACATTATATCAACTCAAATTTCGTTTTGTATCGGATTCCGACTTTTGCATTAGTCAAACGATTCGGGCATTTGTCACTACTCGCCCCTTTCCGTAACCAGCTATTCGGCTTGTCCCGGAATAACACGAGTTGGTCACGAATGACAATTCGGGGATTCACAAGAGAACAAGCCGTGGTCACCATGGACTCGTCCTATCTCCGGGCGGTGGGGTATCTTAGTGGTTAAAGCGTTCGCTCGTCACGGAGAAGGCCCAGATTCGATTCCCCACATGGGTACAATATGTAAAGCCCATTTCTAGTGTCCCCCGCCGTGATATTGCTGGAGTATTGCAAAAGGCGGCGTAAAACGTTCTACCCCCAGCCGCAGTGGCGTGACCAAAGGAGGCAATCTTATTAAAATCAGATCTTAGTTCTCGCTATCGCTAAACAAGCAAGCTAAGAACTAAGATCTGATTTGAATGAGATTGCCGAAAGAGGTAACGTCATATACAAGAGTTTACTATAATATTCTGAACCTACTTTCAAAATGTACTTATTTTTTTAAAATCCAAGTAAGTTGGGAGAACAATGATTTATGACAAGGAAGGCCAAATGTTTTTTATCGAATATTTATTATCATGACAGTGTGTAAGCCATAGCGTAATAGAGGCCGACTTGGAGCGTTAAATGTTATTTCACGAAAGTGATTTAATGTTGCCAGGAGTCAGTCAGTACATATAATATAACCCGTGAAGATCCGGATGGAGAATAGGTCTTCAGCAACCCATGCTTGCCGTAAAGAGGCGACTAACGGGATCGGGTGGTCAGGTTCGCTGACTTGGTTCATGCATGTCATCGTATCCCAATTGTGTAGATCGATGCTAATGATGTCAATCACTGGATTGTCTGGTCCAGACTCGATTATTTACAGATCGCCGTCATATAGCTGGAATATTGCTGAGTGCGGCGTAAAACAACAAACGACAACATATTATGTAATAGATAGAGGGTGTTTGGCTTTTCTTGAAATATGTTTATCTCATCGAGTGACCTGACAAAAGTTCATATGCTCACGAGTGACATTCGTCGTCAAGGTTTTTCTAATTGTCTTCCCTGATTTTAATCAGGAAATTATACTGCCTTTGATGTTGCTGGACCTTTCCCCCAAAGCGGCTTAAAACTCAACACTATCCCTCAAATTATTAATACTTCACATTTCTATTACCTACCTTTGGAATGACTTGCCTACATACGGCGCTTGTATGATTGATAACTCGACTTTGGTTTTTCAACAGTTGCATGTTTGGGACAACACAAAATATTAAGATATGGATAAAATGTGTTAGAAAGGCTTATTTTTTAATTGTTAGCCACATTAAAGGATTTCACCCGGTCAGAAGCCCATATTAAAGAAGACTAGATCCCAACTATAAGTACATGTCTGCTCATTATAATCATTATTTCAAAATCTTCCGCAAATTTAGGATTTTTAAGTGTGTCTAAACTGACCCCTATACTACATTGGTCCTTCAGAAAACAAGAACCATCAGAAAGATGACATATCCCCCCGGCAGCTGTCTGTAAAGTAACCACTAGTAAATGTACAATTCTGTATGTAATGAGTCAACAGTTGAATGTTCTTTAAGGAGCATACATTGTTTACCCACTGAATGGTTTTCGAATTCTGGCCCGGAAACGAACCCGTTCCCCAATGGAGTCTAGGTCCAACTTCTTTCCATAAAATTTGTAAAAAATAAAAATTCGTAAAAAAATAATAATATCAAAAGGCACCACTTCGGTATGTGCCTGGTAGCTTTGCCAAGTTTCGATCAAAGACACTGAATGGTTTCCGAATTCTGCCTTGGAAACGAACCCCATCCCCAATTGAGTCTATGTGCAACTTCATTCCATAAAAATTTAAAAAAATTAAAATTAGAAAAATCTCAAAATATCAAAAGGCACCACTTCAGTATGTGCCTGATAGCTTTGCCAAGTTTCGATCAAATACACTGAATGGTTTTTGAATTCAAGAGGCTGTGGGTCAAATGTTGTTCGGACAAAAGAACCTAACGTGTAGCTCACCTGACTGAAAGTCAAGCTTATGTCATGGCCGGTCTATCTGGCGACCGTCATCAGTTTCTTCAGCAACCCATGCTTGCCGTTAAAGGCGACTATTCTTGTCGTAAGAAGCGACTAACGGGATCGGGTGGTCAGGCTCGCTGACTTGGTTGATGCATGTTATCGTATCCCAATTGCGTGGATTGATGCTCATGGTGTATCAGTTGATTGTCTGGTCCAGACTCGATTATTTACAGACCGCCGTCATATAGGTGGAATATTGCTGAGTCCGGCTGATTTACCCAACTGAACTAGAAATAAAGGAGACCAATGAGGCCGCCTAATCTATTTTATGCATGTATTTAAATGTATACACAGTGATTCACAGTGACAAAACGCTATCCACAACACTTATGACAAGAGGGATGACTTTAACTTTCCAATTATCAATTTTCACTTATTATTAAGGCCAAAGTAAAACTTTCAAAACGTTTATGGTAGACCTGTCTATGGCATTTGCATCAGTCACAAAATTGATGTCTGATTGGTGTTCCCGTTTATTTTAAAGTGAACAATTGACTTGCCTTTGCGTGTGTTTGTGACGGGTGCCACCGGTGTGGCAGGATATGTTCACTTTTTCAAGAACACCTGGTATTGTCACAATCTGATACTGATTCATAAACACAGGCTTATGAAATAGTCGGAATCGTACTATGGATTCAGCTTTTAAAGATAGCGTATAATTACGGAAAGGGTCTCGTTGCTTAGTTACCACACAGCCCATAAGTCATAATCGTTGCGGTTCCACGTCGTCGACTCAGCTGATTCTTATAATGTAACCTGAAACATAACCTTGATCTGACCGTAGCAATACGTATTATATTTTTTAGTGGTGTAACGATACATCGAACTTTCGATTGATTGCGATTGCTTGTCTCACGATAGTACACTATCGATTGCAACTTGAAACAATCGATACTATTGGCGATAGTTTGTCTAACTATCGATAGTTTCGATAGTTAATTTGTTTGGTACATTTACTTTCTTAAAAAACATAGAAACAACTCCTGTGATCATCTAACCTCTGTCGTGCTTTCCTTTGGATTGCACTACTTTGTCTGCTTGATTTAGAATTACGTCCTTTAGCTACTCGTTGCTAGGCAACATTGACAAGATAGCGGACGCCACATGTCAGTTTTTGTCAACTTTGTTTCCTAATTGATATGTTGAATCGCATTTAGTCATTCAGTGAATGCCAATGTGACAATTAGTTTGACAGTTTGTATAGTCAAATACTAGTCATTCAATCACACTCAATCACATTGGTGCTAAAACACTGCCGTAACCTAAGACTTTACCAGTTACATGAAGTGAAATTTTGTATTAAAATGTTTTTGAGAGGTCAATTTGAACTTGTTTTCTTCTCATTTCTTGTTTTCTTTACAAATAGTATCAGAAAGTTATAATTATTTTAATAGTGTCAGTCAAAATGCGGAAATATATACTGCTAAAGCCTGCTATAATTGCAAGTGAAAACTATCGCAATAGTATCGCAATAGTAGGGCCACTATCGCAATATTATCGCAATAGTTGTTTTAACTATCGCAATAGTATCGCAATAGTCAAAAATGCCTCAATAGTCACACGTAATATTTTTTGGGTTGTACAAAAAACAACCGCATAATCCGCATAATCTGGAGATAAACATACTGTGTTTTCAATGTAGAGCTAGGTTACCTGTAGATTTAACCCCGGTAAATTGAATTTGGAACCGAACGCGCAGCGTAGAAAGGTAGCGCAGTGATGCGGCCGTCAAACCAGCTGTTTCAACCAGAGGGGGTTTATTGTGATTTAATAGCCTCTGATTGACAAATCACAATCGAGTAAATTCCAAATTCATGGTACAATAGTTCACAAACGGACTGTCCTCTTGCGAAATATAAGCCAAATAATAGAGATAGCTTAAATAGGTGATTATCATCATCACCTCTGACATGAAAATCCTGACATTTACGTCTAAATTGTGTCGATGTTCGGAGTACGTGTAATGCTTTTATTGCTACCAGATATCTGTCTGGCGTGAAGTAAAACATTCGTAAGAAACAATCAACAATTATCGACTTGTTTTGAAGAAAGTGAGTGAGTCAGTGAGTATGGTTTTACGCCGCTTTTAGCAATATTCTAGCAATATCACGGCGGGGGACACCAGAAATGGGCTTCACAAATTGTACCCCTGTCGGGAATCGAACCCGGGTCTTCGGCGTGACGAGCGAACGCTTTAACCACTAGGCTATCCGACCGCCCACTTTTGAAGAAAGATTCCATCTGTAGTCAGTCTTTTCACAATCATGGAACACTTTGCAATGATTAAACGTGTACCTTAAAACTGTAGCGAATCAAAGGTATGTCATGCATTTTCACAGTTTTCCAAACTTATACCATCAGTTCCTCTTCCTTGACTCGCACGTAAATATAGGTATACAATTTCCTGTATTCCTTTTTCAACAGTTCGTACTTGACTGAATTCAGGCCATCTGTCTTCATCCTTTGTCTTACACTTTTTACCAGCTTTCCTCTGTAAACAAAACAACGGGAAATTGATGTCACTTGTCAGGCGAATACGATTCTCCACTCGCCCTTTTCCGTAACCTTGTCCCGGAACGACACGAGAGGTTACGAAAGGTAGCTAATTTATGCTTAAGCCCGGGTAACTCAATATTGAGCATTTTATTCAGGACATACGGTATATTAAAACAAATACTGTTTCTGAGAGATTCTTTGACCAAAGTATTGGAAGTAACACTCGCAATCTCAGAGATAAGTGTGGAAGAATTTATGAATGCAATGAAATCTCCCTGACGGGATACCAACATTTCAAATAAACATTTCATATTCATTCATACATTTCAGCATATTATTTCCTCACATGACGTTACTGTTAATAAGCATACTTAGCACTGGAAGTTTCCGTCGTCCTGGACAGAAGCAGTTATATTTCCACCATTAATGAAAGGAGAGAAACGTAAACCTGGCAGCTCAGGGGGTTAACTCTTATTGTGCCAGGTGAGAATTTTACAAAAATGATAAATGATAGAATAGTAAAATGGTGCGAAGTGAACGAAATACAGGTAGGTACGGTGGCCCATAAGGGACATGGAGTCTGTTTTTCAATATTTTGATATTTCACTTACTGTTATCGTAACCTTTTGCAAATTAACACAATCTGCCTTACAAATATGTGATAAATCATGTATAAAAATATCCGAAAACATAGAAAATGTACTTTTAAGTAGCTTTTGAGTCGCTGAAATGTGAAGTGAAAATGTCAAAAACTAAAATGGAAATGTCAAAAACCAAAACGAAAATGTCAAAAACTAAAATGAAAATATCAAAAACACAAAACGAAAATGTCAAAAACGAAAATGAATACACAGAAAACTATTTCCACCGCGGTGTAAATATTATCACCGCGGTGGAAATAGTTTTTGACATTTTCGTTTTGTGTTTTTGACATTTTCATTTTAGTTTTTGACATTTTCGTTTCACTTTTCAGCGATTCAATATCTTCTTTACACATGATTTATCACATATTTGTAAGACAAATCGTGTTAATTTGCAAAAGGTTACGATAAATGTAAGTGAAATATCAAAATATTGAAAAACAGACTCCATGTCCCTTATGGGCCACCGTAGGTAGGGGATCAGGCAGGTTTTAGGAGAGGATACAGCACAAGAGATAACATATTTATGTTGTACTTGTATCTCTCAAAGTCAAAATGGCGCATGTGCTGTCTTTGTATGGACTTGACAGTGTAGAGCATCATCTCCTTAAGTATGTGATGTTAGAGAATGGAAGGACTAGAACGTGTTTTCGTGTACTCCCATCAATATATAATCAGCTGAAGTCGTGTTCACTGGTGCTTACTCTATCTGATTATTTCGAGTGCAGCTTTGGTTCAAGACAAGGCTGTATGCTCAGTCCAGTGTTGTTTACTTATTTCTAAAACAACTCTCTAACATGTACCGTGTACTGTAAATGAATCTGTGTTGGTGAAGATATTAATAACACCATGGCACTCATGTACGTAGATGATATGTGAGTTACACTGCATCATACATTACAGAATCAGATAAACACCCTGATTCACTGTTATGACATACTTTGTATACAGGTCAACCTGGACAAAACAAATGTTATTGAGGCGGTATAATCAAATCAAATGCAGAGTGGTGGTTTAATACTCAAAGACTTGAATTTGTGAACTCTTATAAATATCTTGGAACATTTGTCACTCCTAAATTATCTTTTAGCTCTGCAAGAACACACACCGAACAGACAGAAACAGTGAGGAATATTATCCTACGTTTTATATACTTGATAAAGTTGCCATTGTCTGAAGCTCTGTTTCTATTTGACAAAATGATCACAACAATCCTGACACATGGATCTGATGTGAGGGGATATTAAACACTGTATTGACAAATTTCATTTAAACGTCTGCAGAAAAGTGTTATGTATTAACTCTGGGACAAATATCTATATACATGGTGAGCTTGAAACACATCCCATGTAAAGTATATGGCAAATTTGATTAAATATTGGTCTCAATATGCCAAATTTCAGATACCCAAAGGCATGTTATATAATGTTATACAATGTTGGTAGTTCAGGAAGGAGAAAATGGGCATCACATGTACAATCACTTTTAAATCGTGCAAATTTAGACTCATCTTCTCGAGACAAGGGAGTTAACTGACATTAAAAGTCAAGTTTCCACCCTTGCCTGACTAGGCTGGAATTCCTGGGCTCGATCGTAGCGCCACCAGTGGCTATTATGAGTTATGTCCCTTCGATGTCTCTCCTTTGAACTAATCAGATTCCAACTCTCGTATCACTTGCATTTGCTTCAAACAATATGACGGCGCCCAGTCCAGACGATCTGATCGATAATCAAGATCTATATTTCGATAAAACGGGTCTCGCGCGAAGTGCATCAAATCACGTGAGCACCTTGATTAAAAACATGAAAATATTGGGAAAATATGTGATGTCACCGAGTTGGCGGTGCACATTCTTTTCAATTTCCGGCAATCGACCAAAATCTGCATGACAGTTTACGAACAGGATTTCGATTTCGTTGCGCGATTTTGATTGGACTATGCATAGATTCGTTAATACTCCATAATACCAGCCAAGGTCGGCAAGGGTGGAGACTGGACTTTTATAGTCAGTTAACTCTCTTGCCTCTAGAAGATGGTTTAGGCTCAGTTTGAATAAAGCATAGTGTTGTAGATGTATCGGCCTTTCTACGAATTGCTAAAGGGACCCAGAAACGGCTTTATATAAGAAATCTTTCAGGATCTTCAGAGTAGTGGGAGACTCAGAAATTACATTTTACACAAGTCCCAATTACAGTACTCAACATATATCACAGACCGAATTTGGGGAGTGGCTCTTACTCGCTTCAGACCGCCTCCGTGGTCTAGTGGTAGAGCGTCCGCCCGGAGAGCGGAAGGTCCGGGGTTCCATCCCCGACCGCGTCATACCAAAAGACGTTAAAAGATGGTACTTGTTGTTACCCTGTCTGGCGCTCGACATTAAGGGGCTAAACCAAGGACTGGTCGGCTCGGAGTCAGTAAAATGTGTCTGAGTGGGGTATTCATGCTAAATTGCGGCATGGTATCTCAGTGAGCTAGCACTATAAATCGGCATCAGTCCGGACTAGTACAAGCAGCCACACAAACACACACGTACATGCACGTCGCATTATAAGTGCAATAATCTTGGACGCGACGTTAAACCCCATTTCACCTCACCTCACCACCTCACTCGCTTCAGCTGTTCAAATCACACACAATATATCCCAGGTAGACGTTGGTGCTCGGTGACGTAGGTGTTGACACCTCTGCATTTGACAACACAAGTCCGTCTGTGGGTCCACACCATTTATTCTATGATATCATGCAGCCATATCATAATCAATGCATATCGTCTCCAGTTACCATCCCCCAGGCCTAGTTCGGCCAGCTTCTCTCGCTGCTGTCCCAGGACCAACTCTCGACCATTACAGAGCATTGTCCATTTCTCCCTAGGGGGCAAAGCACGGTCAGACACATGTATGGTCAGCCTGTAGTATCTCGCCCCTCATCCACAATGTCACGTTTCAGTGGCCAACCCTAATATAATGATGCTTGACGTAAGAGGGGGCACGGGTGGCCCAGTCGTCTAAGGCGCCGCGATTCGTTGTGCAGAGTTGCGTCCCTTGGGCACGGCAGAAACCTATGATTGTGGGTTCGAATCCTGGTTCGCCCCAATTATGTTTCTAGGTTTGTCAGCACCATACCCGTGCTCGTGGGTTTCACCGAAGTGGTAAACGTCTTAGACCTGCATCACTTCGGGCTTTCCTCCCACATTGAGCTGACACGCCGTGATATAACTGGAATAATGTTAAAAGCGGCGTTAAACCCAACTCACTCACTCACTTGTCATAAGAGGCGATTATCGGGATCGGGTGGTCAGGCTGCCGACTTGGTTGATGCATGTCATCGATCCGAATTGCGTGGATCGATGCTTATGTTGTCAATCACTGGATTGTCTGGTCCGGACTCGATTATAATTATTTACAGACCGCCGCCATATAGCTGGAATAATGCTGGGTGCGACGTTAATTAAAAATAACAAACAAACCAAACAAACAAATCATGGACGCTGGGACAAAGTTGTTTCCCATGATGCCATACACTGAGGCCAGTTTTGAATTGAAATTTGTTCCTTTTCATACAGCTAGGCTAATGTCATTGCCAGCTAGGTCAGAGCTGCCTACCTGGTGAGTGTGTGACTTGTGGGGTTTAATGCAAATCTTCTTATCCTTATAACACACGTGTGAGCTACATGGTGTTGTAAATGCTTTATTGTGTTTCAGCTGTTCCTCTCACAGGAGTAAGTATTCAACATTGACTATACTTGCCGTAAAGGTGACTATACTTGCCGTAAAAGGTGACTATACTTGCCGTAAAAGGTGACTATACTTGCCGTAAAAGGTGACTATACTTGCCGTAAAAGGTGACTATACTTGTCGTAAAAGGCGACTAACGGGATCGGGTGGTCAGGCTCGCTGACTTAGTTGATGCATGTCATCGATCCCAATTGCGTGGATCGATGCTCATGATATCAATCACTGGATTGTCTGGTCCAGACTCTATTATTTACAGACCGCCGTCATATAGCTGGAATATTGCTGAGTGCGGCGTTAAACAACAAACCAACCAACAAACCAATTCAACATTGAGTTGAAGGGAGATAATTCTTTGCTTGAAAAATTGAAGCTCTCATAAATCACCCCTCCTTCACCATTTGTGAACATTGTATGTGTGTGCTCACTGTTGTGTTCCTGCAGTACCGTAAACTGTGTAATAGGAACTTATATTATATATATGTATACTGAATACAATCTTGAGTCTTATACCGATTGCCTTGTGTTTTCGCACATAACATTGGTTGGCAGCGGCTTTGTTTACATGTAAAGACCATACGTCGGTGTAGATGGTCTCTGGTATGGGCTGATGCGTTTAGTGAGTGAGTGAGTGAGTGAGTGAGTGAGTGAGTGAGTGAGTGAGTGAGTGAGTGAGTGAGTGAGTGAGTGAGTGAGTGAGTGAGTGAGTGA